ATAAGAGGCTGGCTATGAGTCTGGAACTGGGTCAGGAGGATCCGGCTGCTCACTGGCTGGCCCGATGGAGTCCCCCTTGTGCTGCTGTCTGATGTACTGATCCAGCAGGGCAGTCAGCTGGAGGGGCTGGTGCTGAAGCAGGGAGTGGGTCTGGGCCGCGAGGAGGGTGAGTCCTCCTACCAGCTCCCCCTGTGCCACGGCCAGGCTGGGAAGCTTGGAGTAGTTGATGAAGCCCTGCCTGCTGAGGATGGTGTCATCAATGCAGCCACCTGGAAGAACACGGCATCAGCTAGGGTCCCACAAATGCTTTTCTTCTCCGAAAACAATGGTTCAACCCTAGGCATTTGCTCTCCACTGCCATGCTCCACCTCCCGGCCTTCTGCCAAATCTGATTCCCACTTGTGCCCCGCCCCGCTCCCACTGTTTGGGATCAATCCCCTCCCCTCCTTCCCTTACATAATAAGTCTGGCCCAACTCCCACTAAGTCACTGTTTCCTAAACTCTTGAAGAATCCTGGAGTATACGTGTGTTAGTGGGGAAGATATTGTAAACACAGATTCCTGCCCACTTGTCTTCATCCTCACCCCCAGCCGGCAGGGGTGCCTGCTCACCTAGCAGTGGCAGGAGAGGCACACCCTTCAAGATTCGCACCATCTCCTTAACCTTGGGCTCCTCACTGACCAGCAGCAAGTTGTGCCCCACAAAAAGGGGCAGCAGGTTTTGGTACTTGGAATCTTCCAGGAAGGGCTTCAGGATCTGGAATGGCAGGAAAGAAGGGCTTATTGGAGATAAATGGGAGGAAGAGCCGCCCACCTTGGTCACGGGCCACAACAGGCTGACGGCGCAACCCAAGGGTCTCCTCAGCCCTTAACTGCAGTTTAGGCACCGGACTAGAGGGTTGCCGTGGAGGGGAGGAGTCAGGAGTGTGATATCTATGGAGATGCTGGTGTCTGAGTGGGCAGGGATAGGGAAATACGGGCAACCCACACCCAAGGGCTGCTCCCTACCTGGTTGGGGAAGATCTTCATCAAGATCCTGTGTTTCCGCAGCTGGTGCCGTATGAGAATCTTGTCCTCTGCACTCAGAGCCACATTCTGGCAGACAGCTATCATTCGGTTGTCTTGGAAAACTGCTGCTATCTCCCGACGGAGGAGCCGGACAAGGCCCGTCTCCTGAAGTCAGGAAGGGATGATCAAGGGGATATAAGCTGCCTCTTCTCCTCGCATCCAGCTCCCTCAGGGGTGGGTGCTGGAGCTTCCAGTGATGCCCAAATGTGGGCTAGATCCATGTACAGGCAGGATAGTTGGACCCCTGACTCTCAGAGACATGTTCTGTCTCCCACTCTGTGCTTTCATTTCCATTAGCTAATAGCAGTCTTTAGAGCAGTGGTTTTCAAACCTGAGAACACTCAGTGCCCCTGAACAGGGCATAAGTCTGACCCAGTGAACGTTTTTTTGACAATAATGTTCACAAAATTACTTTAATTATTCCTCTGACACTGTACTCATGTTGAATTATTTTACCAATCATAAATACAAGATTATTCTTTTGCAGTGTTAATTCAAAACTGTGGCAATGTCACAGAATAAGACTTCAATGCTATTTCCTGAAGTTGAGAACTTGTGGACCTGAGAACCACCATAAAGTTACCATTTCTCCACTGGTCTTTCTGTTCTTTTTCAAGGACAAAAAACCTAGTATTGTTCCTCTAAGAAACCATGGAAACTTCAAGACAGGAGCAAAGGTCTTCCCTACCCCTACCTGAAGGGATAGTTTTCACACATACATTTTTGGAGACAAGAATGAAGAAAATCCAGGAGGCCCATCCAATCCAGAGTTCAAAAGGCTAATGCAAAATCAGGTGCAGATCTCATGTTAAAGTATCTGGACTATAGAGTCAAAGTGGGAAAGTAATCATGTGGATGACGATGTCCTAGAGAGCTACTTCATTATGGCCAAAGGACAAGCTTACTTTAATCCACCAGCCCACCACTAGGTGACATGCCCAGTCTCCTCCTTACCTCCTTTGGGGGGCTGGGAGGGGGTGGCAGGCATCTTGGGTTGACAGCAGGTTTTGGGGGGATATATTCAGTCACAGCCATCAGCTTCTGCCGTTCAAAGTGCATCACACGATGGTGGCGGGTAACAGCCTTGGAGCCACAGCGGACAGTCTGGAGGGTGGGCAGCCGGCCTGGGAGGAGAAACGACAATATGGTGAGATGCAGTCTCTTGGAGACCTTAGTGTGCCCTGGAAAGGGAAAATTCCCATCCTCTGGGCAGAGACAACCACAGCCCACAGAGCTAGCCTCAGCACTGAGTGGGACAAGGAATTTGTCTGCTAGAAATCCTGAATTCCCCAATCTTCTCTTCTCTTTCATGGGTAACCTTAGCTCAGTTGCTTGATCCTTGGAGGCTCCCATTTCTCCAGCACTTTTTTATGCAGAGATGAGGGAAAAATGAGAACAACAAAGGAGAAAGTATTTTGAATACATTTTTAAAAGGAGGAGAGAGTCGAGCAAACTTTTTCTTAAGTGACCAAACAGTAAAAATGTTAAGTTTAAGAGCCATATGGTCTGTCATTACTACTCAACTCTGCCATCATATCATGGAAGCAGCCACAGACAATATGTAAATAAACAGACGTGGCTATGTTCCAGTACAACTGTATGTATCAAAGATGGTGACCAGCCCTGCCATAATTTGCCAACCCCTGGTTTGAACCAGTAGTTTTCAAAGTGTGTACCACCATCACCCTCAAACCAATATGAGTGGAGGCCAACTAATAGTGTTTTTTTGTTTGTTTGTTTGTTTTTAAATTTTATTTTATTGAGTTATAGTCAGTTTACAATGTTGTGTCAATTTTTAATAGTGTGAAACAAGCCCTCCAGGTGATGCCGATGCCAGCTAAAGTCTGAGAACCACCACTCTAGGCATTGCTCCTTCTCCCATGATTTGAAGAGGGACAAGTTACACTGTCCTCACAGCTCCCTCTCTCCATGCTTGTTTACAGGCATTGCTGGAGAGCACCTTTCAGAAGACAAGGGAGCCACTCGAAAGCCATAAGCCAAAGTGACCCCTTCATTCTCAACAAAAGGACCCAAACTAGAGCTTCCCACTTTCAGCCCTTCCCAAGACTGGGATGGGATCTCAGGAAAAGGTTCAGCCAGAAGGTGGCTCTCTCGGTCAGAGACCATGGAGATTTGCTGGGGTGAGAGGTTTTTTGCCAGTGGCCACAAAACCTAACTCTTAAGAACAAAGCTTTAGATCGGATGGAACCACATTTTTCAAAGTGTTTTCTAGTTTTATTGAGATATAACTGACATGCATGAATCCAGATTTTAATCTCTCTTCTGCCACTCACAAGCTATAACCTTGACCAGTCACTCAACTGATCTAAACTTGAATTTCTCCACCTGTAAGGAGGGGAAGACAATGCCCTCTTCTTAGAATGCTTTCAAGGTTTAAACGAAATAATACATGTCTCTGTTACTGTGTCTGGCCTATATTACATACTCAAAATCATTCATTAAACACTTATCTACAGCATGTCTTATGTAGAACAGATAAACAATACTGTACAGCACAGGAAAATATACACAAGATCTTGTGGTAGCTTATAGCGAAAAAAATGTGACAATGAATATATGAATGTTCATGTATAACTGAAAAATTGTGCTCTACACTGGAACTTGACACAACATTGTAAAATGACTATAACTCAATAAAAAAAAGTTTAAATAAATAAAGATATGAACAAAAAATGTAATTGGGGAACTGTGACATATATATGAAACATGAAATTTCCAGAGTTCATTAAATAAACTTAATGTGGCTTTTCACTCCAAAAAAAAACCCCACCAAAAACAAAAACCCACATATCTACAGCATACCTACTCATGTCAGGCACCATGCCACTTGCTGGCTATGCTGAATGAACATGGTTGTGCCTTAATGGAGTTTAATTGAGGAAACAAGTAAACAAATGCAAAATTACAAGATTGTGATGAGGCAAAGGGGTCAATAAACAGAGTGCGAGACACAGACTTAATAGGGGAAACCTGCTTTGCAGAAGGTGGCCAAGTAAGGCCTGAGATGCCATTTAGGCTGAGACCTTAAGAAGGGAACATAGCACCGAGGTCAAGGCGGGGCGTGGTCCAACCAAAGGAATCTCTGGAGGCAGAAAGCGCTGGGTGATGGGTTAGAGAAACCCCAAACAAGGCAGAGGGACTGCGGCCTAGAGAATAAATACTGTGGTTGTCGCTGACGGTTCCGCTGTGTTGCTATTATTACTAGATTCTGGAGTCCCAGGGAATTAGATGGGGAAAGGAGGCCGGTGATCTAGCTGGGGTCGGGGTTATCGGGAGCTTTCCGGGGTCAGAGATCTCGGGAGGGGATCAGTAGTAGAGGTGGGAGACGAGTAGAGAGCACAGGCCGGAATGCGCCGTGAAGATATGGGCCACTCCTTACCCGCCTGGGGCAGGAGACCACCTCGCAGCATCCCAGCCACGGTCGCAGCCATCGTCACCGGAAGAACCGCCGTGAGCGTGGCGAGACGGAAGGAGCTACGGATTGTGGGGAAGCCCTGGACCGGAAGCAGAGGGCGGGGCCGCTGGCTGGAGCAGTAATCCGCATGCGCTGAGTCCTGCGTCAGCGAGCCGGCCCCCCCCAACCCCGTGCCCTACTTGGCGTCCGGTCTCTTAGCAACGACGTTAGACTCTAACCGTTCTTCCCAACCGCAGGCACTGCTGTCAACCTACAGTCTCCCTGGTGGCGGCCAGCAAGTCCCCTCTACGCCCCTAAACTCCAGACCCTCCATTTCAATTTACTTTCGTCTTCTACCCTACCCCCAACAATTGGCTCTGAACCAACCCGTTTCCTTTGTCCTCCAATTTTCTGAGCTTCTCCTCATACCGGCCTGGGTTCCGCCATTCCCAGGAGCTGCCCAAGCTGCTCTGCTCCTCTTTGTTCCAATCCTGCCCCAGGCCAGCAACTTTTAGATCATGCCTGGAGGTGAGTAGGAAAGTAGGATGGTGGATCGAACAGCTGGATGACAGTAGAGTCTCTCCTTCAAGAATGAGGAAATGTAACAATTTGACTCATCTTTTCACAGCTGAGCTTGCCCAGAGTCCGGAGGAAGGCAGCAGGTGCATTACGGAAGCCCTTATCACTAAGAGGAACTTGGCCTTCCCTGAGGATGAGGGTCTGTCAGAGAAGATGTGAGTGCACAGGGGAGGAAAGGGTGCTGGAAGAATGAAACACACAGGATGTCAGCAGTCCACTGAGCTGTACTCATTTGTCAAGTTATCTTTGTCCCTCTCTTTACTTACTCCACACATTCAGTCAGTAACAATGTCCAATTGATTCTCCCTCCTTAAAAATTTATTCTATTTCTTTTTCACCATGCCCACTCAGTTGTTTTATTTATTTTTTCTTTTTTTGGTGGGGGGAGGTAATTAGATTGACTTATTTATTCTTAGAAGGGGTACTGGGGATTGAACCCAGAATCTCATGCATGCTAAGCATGCGCTCTACCACTTGAGCTATACCCTCCCCCAACCACTCAGTTGCTTTAAATAAGGGTCTTAAATGTCATCACCTCTCAACAGACTCCTTAGTCTCCCTGCCCTTGAAAGTGATCCTTTTAAATGACAAATCTGGCAGAACCTTCCTTGGCTCCCTAGTACCCCCAGCATAAAATCCAAACACCTTAGCATGAGTTGACCTCTGTTGCCTTTTTAGCTTTATTTCTTGCCACTCTCCACAAGTGTGCAATTCCCCTAAGACCCTATGTTCTCACACCTGGGCACCTTACTACCCAGAGTGGTGCTGGCGGGGGTGGCAGGGGAGTAGGGGGCAGCAGCAGCATCACGTAGAAGCTAGTTAGAAACAAAGAATCTCAGACCCACCTACTGAATCAGAATCTGCATTTTAACAAGAACTTCCCCCCCAATGTATTCATGGGCACATTAAAGTTCAAGAAGGGCTGGATTCATACATACTATGCCTTCTACTTGAAATGCCTTCTCCTCATCCTACCTCACCTTCCTGGCTAATGCCTACACATGTCACCTCCTCCAGGAAGTACTCCCTGATCCCCCTAGTCTGAACTCAGTGTACAGTCCTTGTCTGCGCTTAGTCCCTTGCACTTGTCTCTGACACCCACTTGTCATAGATGTTTGGGCTCCTTCCCTAATAGTGATAGGCAAAGACTGTCATTTTTCTCTAGTGAGCACTCAGTAAATGTTGTGGAATTAATGAATGGGTGAAGGAACAAGTGATTTCCCTTCCATGGACCACTGAGAAGGGAGGTGAGGAAGGATCTTCCTGCAGAGATTGTCTCCTCTCTGTCTCACTTGTTGCCTCCCTCACCCAGGCTGGCTTGAGGAAGTCTTCTCCCTCTCTCTGATTCTCTCCAGGAACCATAAGCTGCCATCACCCAGTTTCCCAGTCCAAGGGCCCTTACTCCCTTCTCACTCTGATCCCTTCTGGGGCTACTGACAGAGACCCAGGTCTCCATGTCAACCCAGTTTCACGACCTGGACCCAACCTCATGAGTTAAGCAGGTGTCCCTGACATCTGATCAGAGTCACTGAGCCATCCACCCCTCTTTAAGACACCATCCCCTCCATCTCCCTGCTAAGACACCACAGAAAGTGGCCCTCTGTCACACCACTCTGCTGATTGTTTGCCCAGGTTTCACACGCTTGCTGAACTGCAGACTGTCCGCCTGGATCGGGAGGGAATTACCACTATCAAGAACCTAGAGGGCCTCCAGAATCTTCACAGCCTCTATCTGCAAGCGGTAAATTCTTGCCTCCTGCCCTTTTTCCTCCCTGTGGAGGTGACTCTATCCCTTGTGGGCCAGGTCTGTCTATAATCTGAAAAGAGCCAACCAGGTCATCTTGCCCACTTCCTAGTGTTCAGGCAGGCAGACCTTCACTGAAACTGTTTTCAGATCAATCAGGAATCCTTCTGAATTGAAAGACCAGTCCTCCCAAAAAAGATCCTGACCATGCTCTTGAATCACTATTTTTTGTTGAACATGTCTCTTGTTCAAGAAGTCCTTCTTGTAGTCTACTCTAAATCTCTCATGCTATGTAGTTCAAATCTATTTCCTGTTTTGAAGAAAAGGAAGAGGGAACCAAGAAGCTTCCTCTGCATCCATCAGAACCTTGAAGGCTGTTTGTCAGTGGGGGTGGGGGTGGGGGTGGGCAGGTGATCTCCAGCCTCCCCCAGGTTGAATATACCCGGATTCCTGAACCTTTCCCGACAGAAACTTTACGGATCAAAGTAGTGTATGTTCGCTGTTCCCCTCTTGTGTGCAATCTACCACCAAGGCTTTTTTGATTTCCCTGTGGCCCTTGGTTTCCTCTTCTGATTTCCGGGTCACTCTTTGGTTTTGGGGTGAGCAGGGCACACCTGAACCAAGTTTAGCCAGCCCCAGATTTACACCCTTATCCACCCACCTGGAGAAAGCAAATCATCCCAAAGTAGTAACAACCAGTTCAAGGAGTGGGGTGATCATTCCCAAAGGGCCAGATCTCCAGCCTCAAGAGTAGACAGGGTCTTGGGGCTTTGTTCCTTTAAAGGGCCCCCCAACACAGCTGACCTCAGCTTGGTTTCCTCACCTCGGCTTCTTCCTGCAGAACAAGATCCAGCGAATTGAGAACCTGGCCTGCATCCCCTACTTGCGGTAAGTGGTGCCAGGGCTCCGGCAGGGTGGGGGGTGAAGAGAAGAGGGAGAATGAAGGGGAGGAAACCTGGTAATACCTGCAAAGAACTGGCTCAAGACCTCCCCACGCCCACTACCTATCAGCAGAGGGCCCCCACAAACCTAGCTCTGCTTCCATCACCCCAGAAAGCCATGTGTCCCCACTCATTATCCAGCTGCCTAGCCAGGGGACCTGGGCGCCTGGTGCTCTCCTCCCTTCCTCCAGCTGTTCTGTGATTTGGCTGTCTCTGCACTCCTCCCTTCCCCTACAGCTTCCTGTCTCTGGCAGGAAACCAAATCAGACAGGTGGAAAACCTCCGCGACCTCCCACACCTCCAGTCTCTGGACCTTTCAGAGAACCTGATAGAAGTACTGAAGCTGGGTAGGAAGCCTTTGCCCTGGCTCATGGAATAAGTTCCAGGAGGGGCCCTCCCTCCTCTCTGCCCCCCTCTCCCTGTGCTTGCACATCCTCTAGGGGGTCTGGGGGCTGTGCAGAGGGGCAGTGGTCTCCCTTTGCTATGGGCAGATGAATTCCCCGAGAGCCTTCTCATCCTCAACCTGACTGGAAACAGCTGCACCGCCCAGGATGGCTACAGGTGAGGAGGAATTGAAGGTGGGAAGAAAGGGCTGATTGGCTGAGCTCCCTCTCAGCCCACAAACCTCGGGGCACCGTCCCTGGCACCTACCTTCCCCTCCCTCACCCCAGCTCAAGTCGGACCCCTTTTTTCCCTCCCACACCTATAACGCCACCTGGAGCCAGCCTTGTTTCCCTCCCACACCCATAATGCCACCTGGAGCCAGCTCATTGGCCTGACCACAGGCCCAGCTTCCAGCTCAAGAACAGCACCCCTCCCGGTGTGGTTGCTGTGGCTTGTGTCTGCGCTCCCAGGCTCCACACCCAGGGGTGCCCACCCAGGTAGCCTCTGCTCTTTCTGCCCTACAGGGAGCGGGTGATAGAAGCCCTGCCCCTGCTCCTGTACCTGGATGGGCAGCCGGTGTTAGAGCGCTGGACCTCGGACGAGGAGGATAAAGCCTCAAGCGATGAGGACGAGGAGTTCCCGGAGCTGAGTGGCCCGTTCTGCTCAGAGCGAGGTGACCCTGCTTTCAAGGCTTGCAGCCTCCCCAGAGTTCACCCCTGCCCTGCGGGGTCTGGGAGGAGCTAAGATGGCAGTGGTGTCTGGGGAGGTGGTCCCAGGGCCAGGAGTAGTCTGGGCATGCAGGCAACTCATCCTGGTCCCGCCTCACACTCCTCCCCCTTAGGGAGAGTTTGCTCAGGAGCTCAGCCAGGGACCTCCTCCTCAGCCCAGGGGTGTTCCCGATAAGCCTTGGGTTCCATCCACCACCCACCATCCTGCCCCTCATAGGCTTCCTCCAGGAGCTGGAGCAGGATATGAGAAGGCACCGGGAGCGCAGGCAGCAGACAGCCCTGCTCGAGCATCTTTTGAGGGTGGAGACACAGCCCGCCCTCACCGACCTCCCCCCACTTCCAAGGGCACCCATGGCTGGAGACAGCAGCCCTTCCGTCACTCCCAAGCTAGGGAAGGACACATCCCCGGAGCCTGCCTCCTTGCCACAAGCCTCTTCTGCCACCAAGAAATCATGCCCTCTGGTTTCCAGGGGCCAGCAAAGCACTGTGCAGGCAGGGAAGGGGGCCAGAGCAGCCTCAGCCCCCAAAGCCCCTCTGGGGGGGGCCCCCAGCATGACTAAAACTGTAACCAAAAGAATCAAGAAATGAAGTGCAGCCCATTGCTATCAGCAAAGCCCCAGGAACACAGAGGAACAAGGGGTAGAATAGCCCCCCATCTTCAGAGCCCTCACTTGTAGCAGGAGCCTGTCCCCAATAAAGTGTCTCCAGGCCCTGCGGAGGTCTTCCACGTCACTTGGGGGCATCTCAGGGGAGGCAGTCAGTAAAGGCACCGGGAAACAGTGGCAGGAATACAGAGACTGATTCTAAAGAAAGACCAGGATCTTTCAAGAACTACCCAAGGGACTGGCACCCCGTCTCAGGCCCTACCGGGCTTCCCAGCTCCTGAGTGGGCAGGAGGCGGGCATCCCCTCATGGAGGACGCCACCTTGCGGTGGGCACATCTCACCGCCACCCCTAGGGAGTGCCCTTCCTGGGTTCAAGCCAAGAACCAAAAACTCTTGGTTCTAATTCTCCCCATGTAGCAGCCACCTGCTGTGTGCCAGGCATGCTCTTGCACACACAACCTACGCCTGGGGGCCACCTCCTCTCACAGGCCCCTTCGCGACCTTCACTGACCACCTCCAAGTCAGAAGAACGTGTTGCCCAGCAAAGCACCCAGCGGCCCACAGCCAGCTCAGGGCTGCCCTTCGCCCTCTCTTGGCTCCCCCAACCCACTGGACCTGGACACTGAAGGAGGGAAAACATGTTTATTAGGGCAAAGGCCGACCTGGCCACTCAGAACAAGGCCGAGGGGATGAAGGGATTGCTCTGGCCCACTACCCCAGGGCCCTTGGGCCCACTCCAGCCCCCTGCACCCCACCCCAGGCCAGGAGGAGCCAGGCTCAGGCATAGGCCTGGCTCTCCTTCTCCACGAAGGCCCGGAAGAAGCTGCCCAGCTCCTGGGGGGGTGGGGCCCGCTCCCCGGCCAGCAGCGCCCGCACAGCCTCCAGGCCTTCCTGCTCCAGATCCCGCTGCTTCTGCCGGAGCTGCTGCCCCCGATCCTGCCCAGGAAAGATAGAGATGAGTGCCTAGGATGGGATTCCCTCGGATTAAAGGGGGCACGGTTGCTGTCTCATAAGCAAGAGAAAGGACAGAGCACCCGACATACTACTGAACAGTTGGCTTTGAAGGGACAGACTTCTCTCCCCAGCTCTGGAGTCTTTTCTCTGCTTCTAGGTGCCCTCATATTTCCAGAGTCCCAGTTGTGGGTGGAGGGAGTGAGTCTACCCCACAGGGTTGCCCCTATTCCCTGGGCGTTACCTGCTCACTCTCCATCAGACCCAGGGCCACCTGGTGTCTGCGGTAGAGGGGGTGCCGGCGATCCACCTGAGTCTGGAATCGGGGCAGGGTCCGAACAGGGTCCTGCGCTCCAAAAGTGGGGGACATAACCTGGGGGACCTGGGCCACCCCTACGCCGAAGATGAAAGGTTTGAACACTGACCTAATGGGATCAGGGATGGAAGGATGAAGAGCTGTCACACCCTTCCATCTCCCCCACCTGGTGCGCTCTCCCCAGCCTTCCCTGCTCTCTCACCGGGATGGGTCTGGGGTGGCAGTGAGGAAGTGGACACAGGGCTGGGTGGGATCCCGGGGCAGGATGGACACCATGCTGGCCGTGGTCCGGAAACCTCCAGAGTCCATACAGATGCCACTTTCCTTGTTCCTGAGGACGCCCATCATCACCTCCGCCGTGATGCCCCCTGCCAAGGAGGACACCTTGAGGGGCCCCCAGGGCAGAAGGGACCCCTGGCCTCAGGCTAGGCCCCCCTGAAGCTGTGGGAGCGGAGAGAGGCCGGCCCCCACCCCCTCCACTCACTGACCTTGCTGTCGCTGCAGCAGCTCCCTCCCAGCCTGGAAGCGGGCCTTGGCAGCCTCCATGCGCACAGGCTGCTGGGTCAGGGAGAAGACCCGTGCGAAGTCAAAGTTGTCCTGTCCATCCCACCAGCCCTGGGCCCGGGCGTGGGGCCGGAGTTCGGGGTGCTCTGCCGAGATGTCCGTGCCGATGCTCAGCTGGTTGGAGATGTTGTGGGCCCCCTCTGTGGAGGAGATTGGGAGGTTGCTCATTTATCATTAGGCTCCTGCCCTGCGCTGGGCGCTCAGCTAGGTGCTGAGAGCACTACGGTGAAGAGAACAGACAACTCTCGTGGAGGGGCAGACAGACAAACTGATCACAGAAATAACTGAGCTTGCAGCTGTTGTGAGCGCCATCCAGAAGAGGCACCTGCTTGCGTATAAGGGACGAACCTGACCACCAGGAAGTCCAGGAATGCTCCCCAGAAGAAGCGGCAGCCTGGAGCACAAGAGGACTCAACCAAGCGACAGGGGAGGATAAGTTCCCGCTTGGGCTTATTTCCCATATCCCTGGATGCCCTCGACACCCAAGAGGTCTGCACCTGGATTGGGCCTTCCCTGCCCCCCTACCATCCCCCCCAAAACGGGAACACCTCTGGGAGGCAGGCCCCAGAGCCAGGGCCCTCACCCTGGATCCTCTGCGCAGCCCACAGCCTCCCCGCCGTCTCCAGCACCCACGCCTCAGTCCGGTCAGCCAGCAGGAAGGTGTTGTGGTAGCAGAATGGCGTGGGGTCCTCCCGGCAGCTGCCCCCCTGCCCGTAGCGCTCCAACAAGCCTGTGATCACGTGCAAGGCCTCCTGGGCTGAGCTGCCCCTTTCTAAAGCCAGCCTGGCACAAAGAGAGTCCAGGGGACAGAAGGGCAATGGGGTATCAGTGGCTGGTGGCAGAACCTCAGTGGACAGAAAAGGCCCAGAGAGGTTTGGTGACAGACTCAAGTCACAGAGAAAATCTGCCAACACTTGTTGTATTAAGCACACGTAGGCCAGTGGTTTTCAAGCTATGCTCTGAGGGTTTCATGAAAAGGTTTGAAACATATTCTTGGAGACAGAAGTGCCCTGAGCCCTCCAACCTCTTCAGTCAGAGCCCTTCCCCTTTCCTTGGTTTTAGAAATCAAAATTCTACATGAGACTTCATTTGAAAAGAATTTTACTTATATTGAAAAAAAAGTTTTTAAACCACTGCCTTATTTCTGGGCCAGCAGAGGCCCAGAGGTGGCCACATTCGGGAGCTCCTTCACAGACTGTGGAGAGCAGTGGGGGGGGTGGGGAGGGGACAGGAGCAGCCTCCCTGGAGATGATAACAAAGTGGGTGGGAAGAGGGAGGCCCTTATGAACCAGTATGGAGGCAGGCAGGATGCCTGGGTCAGTACTCAGCCCCAGATTTCTGGTGCACTGAGGGGATGAGGGAGGACTGGGTCCGCACCTGAGTAGATCCATGCCCAGCAGGGCTTCCCCCTCCCCAACTGGCTCCTTGGTCCACACCGCCTCGTTGCCGATGCAGACACCATGTTCATTGGCACCCATCTCAGCCCCCCACAGCCAAGAAGGGCGGCTCAGGATCACAGCATGGGTCTTTGACACCTGTTCCACCTCAATGTAGGTGCACTGAAGATAAGGAAGGAGAAACAGAGAGTTCACTCAGAAAGGGGGAGTTACTTACAAAATGGTGGTGCGGTGCCAATCACCTTACACAGCCCTTTGAGGAAGGTCTTTATTGTTCCCATTTTACAGATGAGGAAACTGAGGTCGAGTGAGGCTAAATAATAGATGGCAGCTTCCCAGGTGTGGGGAGCACAAGAAGAAGGTCTTAGAAGAATGCCCACTTCAGCCATACCTCCCAGCACCCTGTAAGGCCTAACCCACCTGGAGCCGGCTCCCAGGGGCGTGAGTTCCTGCTGGTACAAACAACACCTCCTGCACCTCATCCCGGGGCCGGTCGGAGTTCTTGGCAAAGATCACGGCTGGAATGGCCGAGGCTGGGGGCACTGAGACAAAACAGTCGCAGGAACATGGGGTTCCAGGGCTCCACGATGCCATCTGGGGAGAAATGGGGACGAATATGTCCATCTCATGCCACTTCTCCACCATCCTGGCCAGGGCACGGCCCTAGGGAGCCCCTTTCCCAACACGTGCAGATACTCAGGGAAGACACTGCCGTTGAGTTTTGGACTCTCAGCACCGCAAGCATGCCGGATGCGCGGCGAGCGCAACGGAGACACCCCCTCTCCCTCCAAGCTCTAGGCTAGGAAGTCAGCAAGCAGGCGCAGACCGCATGCTCCGAGGACCCTGCCCTGCGTCTCCCTCGCTACCTCACCCCTCTCCAAGAGTCCCACGCCCCTCTTCCATCCATGCTTTCTCGCTTCCGCAATACTGCATGCCCCTCATCCTCTCTCCCTCCAGGGGCCCCTCTTAATCCCGAGAGCCACTACCTCTGCTTAGGGTCAGGTCCGTCCCAAGGGGCGGAGGCTCCTAGGTGACCTGGAAGGCTTTGGCCCCGGGGGCGGAGCCGGAACTGAGCTTCTGCAGTTCCTCCACTTTCCACCAGGGCGCGCGCCAGCACCACTTCTTGGAGCGGAGCGGCCTTCCAAGTCCTGCTGGCTGCCTGCCTTGCCCGGGCGCCGCTTTCAGGCCGGATAAAGTCTGTGGCGAATCCGCGGGGCTTCTCCAATGGAGTCACTGTCAGGAGCCGGGACTGGAGGTGTAAAGGAGCCCACGTGAAAAGGGAAGAAAGAAAAACCTGGGTTGATTTTTTATGACCGGGAACTGCTGGAGCATCTGGAGGTTAAGGAAGAACCTCAGCTACTTGTGTCCTGGTTTGAATAACAAATGCTCAATTCCAGGCTGGTGCCCCTCCCCCTCCATCTCCCACCTCCCACTCCCCAACCCCTCAGAAATAAGATCTGTAAGAATGTTGACAGGCCAGGAGGTATAGGGATAATTTAAGTTAATGCATTTTTTTTTAAGGCACGGAAGCACAAAATCCACCTGAACCCCAAAAACCCAATTCCGCCCCACAGTGCTCAAGCTCATTGGAAGTTAGCTTTGAAAGGAAATTTGGAAATTTCTAGTTCAAAGATTTGCCACCTTTATGTATAGTAAAACTGAAACAGCAAAGGAGAAGTCTTGGCCAAGGGGGCACAGATCGGTGTGGAGGTGGGCTCTGATCCCAAATGTTCTGCTTTCCGGGTCATTTTCCCCTATGAAGAAGATCCCCATAACCAGCATTTAAGCAAATGCATATCACAATCTTTTGCTCTAGGGAGCCCTCCACGAATGGGGGGAGGGGAGACCCAGCAGAATATTTCTCCCACATCCACCATGCCAACCAGTCAAGGCTGTTGCCCAGAGCCCTGGCCACAGCATCCCAGCATGTGGTCATCCCTGGAAAGGGAATGAAAGCAGAGGCCGGCGCTTCCCCAGGAGGCAGGCTGCAGGCAAGAGAGCTGGGTGATGGCCAGGGGTAACCTGCCAGATAAGGCTGTTGGAGCATCTGAAATCTGAGATATTTTCTGATTGCCTCTACGTAAACAAGGCTGATTCCCAAGAGTATGCTGTCTGCAGGGAGATGGGCTTCACTTTCAGAAAGGGGACGGCCACTTGCAGAGAAGATTGACCTGGAAGCTGGGCTGGAGGCAGAGAAGACCACTACCTGGAACTCTGCAGACTAACATTTCCTGCTGCCCCTACTGTGGCTCTGCTGGTCTCTTCCAGGTCACTGTACCCGCGAGGGCCTCAGTTTTCCCAATAGCAAAAGAAGGCATTGGACTAGATCAGTGGTTCTCAACCACTGTCGGGTGAGGAGGGATTGTTTTTCAGCCACACAACTCACAACTCCCACTGCACAACACGTACTTGAATACTTTTCTTAAAGTGTTCGAAGTTTACCAGCATCAGCATTATCCAGAAGGTTTTTCAAAATGCAGAATCTTGGGCCCCACCTCAAACCTTCTGAATTGGAATCTGCATGTTAACAAGACCGCCAGGTGTAGCCTGAGAAGTGCTGCTCTACTGCAGCACCCCCAGGGGATATAATTTGGTGGGATTTGGGGGAGTGAATTGGGGCATCTGGAAAAACTCCATTGGTGATTCTAATGTGCCCTCTGCCGGGGTGGGAACAGCTGGACTATTTGATTCCTGAGATTCTTTTCAAATCTACACTGCTAAGATATTGAGCAGTCAGATTCACTATGATTAATGGGAAGTGAAGGCTGCTTCTGGTGTGATGTCAAGGGTGGGAGGTGAGGTTGCCATTGGACGTCATTCCAGAAACAAACATCAAGGCTGTGCGCTGACAAACGTGAGGACCTGAAGCGGCGGGCAGGAAAGCTGGCTCACCCCCTGCACTCCCCCGGCTGCCTGCTGCAGGGCAGGGACAGGCAGGAGAGACTGGGTCTGGGGCGCAACACAGCCCGAGGCTGCAGTTCCCAGGCTGCCTGCTCCTCTGTCACTTTCCCATTCCTGACTTCACTCATCTACCCTAGAGGGATTCTACTCCTGCTTCCCAGGAGAGGAGATGGTGCCTCAGAGAAGTCTCCCAGAGGGTCAGCCCAGATGCTCTGATTTCCCAAACTCCTTCTCAGCTCCTCCAGGTTCGTCCTCCCAGGGGCGCCAGAACTGAGGGGTCAGAGGTGGCCTTGGGCTCCATGGGGGTGGGGGGGATGGGGCAGGGCCAGCCAGGCAGTATTTGCTGTCAGGGCCAGCAAGTGAGCGTCAGAGCCCCACCAAAGGCCCCCGCTAAGAATGCAGGTCAGCGGGAGGAGCTGCAAGGGGAGGAGGGGCGGCCCCAGCCCTGCCCAGACAGGCCCAGCCGGCCCCACAGCTGCCCTCCTGCCCCTGGGGGCAGCGGTGGGGGAAGAGGAGGAGAGGGCTCACCAGACTCCTGGGGTCTAAGTCTCCCAGAACCAGGAAGATAAAAGAGGAGCCAAAGAGTGGGGTGGGCACGAGGTCATGGGAACATGCCTGTCCCTCCTCCACCCAGACGTCTAAGTCCAACAGCAGATGGAAACAAACATTTGGCCCCCCTAAACTGTCTACTCTCCTCTGGAACCCCTAAATGATTCTGATGCCCCCATCCCAAAGTGGCCTTAAACTTTGTGATCCCAGTCTCTCCCAAACAAGTGATGGGATGGGCCAACCTGGGTATCAGATTTTACTCTGAACAATTGGGTTAGGGTTAGAGTCGGGGGAATACGAATTCCATTAGGGTAGATGATCATTTTGGCCAAGATGCAGGATGGGAAAGTGGAAAAACATAACTTACTCTGCACCCTTGGAGCCAAAAACTGATCCTCTGTCAATCTTCCTAATTTGAGGGTCAGGAGCCATGAGGTTTTTACTCATTTGAAATGCATTAGGCACCAACTGCGTGTGCACCAGGCATGGAGCAGCCTGGGCACGTGTGTACAGACAGGTATTTGTGAATATTGGAGGGTGCCCAGTGAGGTGCTTCTGTGCACACCGCGGTTGTGTAACTGTGGCCAATCTCTAGCTGGGAGTTGCAGTAGGAACCTTTCCCTCATACTTTCCAGCTGGACCAGAGCCCATCAGATAGCCTGGCTGCCTTTCATCGCCTCGTCCCCGATAGGGATCATCCTGGGTGAAGAAATCACTGTCAGTCACCCCCCACCTCACTCACAGCCAGAAGGACTGATTGACACACACCCCTCCATGGGCGCAGGGTGAAGGGGCCAAGAGGCTAGCCATCTCTAGGAAGACAGGGAACCAGCATTTGGCAGGGGAGGTGAAAGAGGGGGCTTGCAATGTAGAAGAGGAAGGAAATATCTAGAACCTTCTTGTCTTCAAGAAGAAAGACCAGGGAGGGACAGCAACCCAGCTATCAACCCCGAGGGAGCTCCACCCTCCTTCTGCACCAGCCACCTCCAGGCAGGATCAGACCCTTCCATCAGCTCAGCTCTGCCCCAAACAAAGGGAGGAGGCTGCCCAGGGCTGTAGGATCAAAGAGAAGTGTCCACCCCACCCTGCAGCCAGCCTGGTCCTCGCTGCTGAGGGACCCTGAGTCAAAGAGGAAATCCGAGCTAGAAGACAAATGAAGCAGTGATGTGGTTGATGACTTTATTATAGCATAAAAAACACAGGCTGTTTCTTCCTCCTCATTCCCCGCCCCCACCCCGGCCCCCTCCCCAAAGTGGGTTCACAGCAGTTAAAGAAAAAAAAATCCTACATTTCTCCTCTAGGGGGCTGCCTAGAAGGGGCAGACAGCCAAGCAACTTAGGTCTATAAAAGAGGGGAGCGGAAGAAAACCTAACCAAAGCCCTCACCTACACACCTTAGAGCTCAGGGCCTCCAAGCGGGGAACATTTATGTTCCCCCCTCCACCAACACCCATTCGGGAGTTCCCCTGAGAATGGTCACTGGGAAAGGCTGTCCTGGTGGCACAGGGAGGGGGTGGCTGGTTTCGATGGGTGGAGGGAAAAGGCATCCCACACCCACAGCGCCCTCCCTCTCTCCCCCTCCGCCACCTGGCCAGGCAACCTGCAGGCACTACAGCTCTCTTCTGCCCCCAACCCTTTCATCAATGAAAGGGACCTCAGGTCAGCGTAGCAGGAGGTAGGGAAAAGAGGGAGCATAAAGAAAGAACATCACTTCTTAAACTACCCCGGCCCATGAGTCCCTCAGGAAGAGTCACCCTATCCCTCTTAAGAAGGGCTCCCTTCTACACAAACATGTTCCCACCCAGATCCCAGCCCCACTTCCCAATAACATCTAGTCCTTGGACTAGGCTCCTGCATCCCCAAGTTAGGAAGAGATGCTAGGCTCCAGGACTTTGGCCGGGGTGAACAAGATCAGGTCTCCCTGGCTGGAGACCTGAGGCTCAGTAGAGAGAAACACACATACACACACACACACAGAAACACACATAGGTACACACAACATGCAAATACGTGTCCTAATATTAAATAAAATACCCTTTGCTTATAACTTAAAAATCAATACACAACTAATCTTCAATAGGGCTCCGGGTGGAGAAAGAGGGGCAGGGGAAGGGGAGGTCGGGGAGGGGGGGGGAATCTTAAGGCTTCTACTTGGAGCCTGGGAAAGCCTACCAGCTCCAGGGTCCTGTGGCCCGCCAGACCCTTTCCCCATCAACTTCTTTCCTTTTGCCTGAATCAGCCTCTGCTGGGCTTCCCTCTTCCCCACTCCATGATCACCATCAGGATGTATTTCTAGCAACTAAAGAAGGGGACAGGGGCAGCTTCCTGGACATCCCTTCAGAAGACAGACCCCTTCCAGTGGGAGAACAACTTCTTCATATGGAAGGGGAGCTGTCCCCAAGAGATGAGACCGGGAGGAGCCTCCTAACACACTCTACAGGAGGGGCAAGGCTGTAGCCAGCGGGAAAGGGGAGGGTGGGGCTAAAGAGTGGGGCTTAGCAGATGGCCAGGTAGGGACAGAGTCCTCAACTCTAAGTGAGAACCTGGTCCCTCTGCTACACCTCCACCTACTCCCACCTACCTCCACCCAACCGAGGTAACCCTCTTCCTTCCATCCCTAAAAGGAAGGCAAATGCTAGGAGACCTACAGCGAGGAACTACATCAATTCTGGAGCTGGGGCTCCTGGCTGCCTTGAAGGCCTACATTGGGTGACAGATGGCAAGTGGATTTCTGAACTTTGTTTTCATAAAGACCAAGAGTTAAGGACTGAATCAAAGTTAGAGATGGAAGGGCTTAGTTCCAGTCCCTAACCAAATCCTCTTCTCTCATTCTAGAAGAGACTTCCTTGCTCAACCCCCACATCTGGCTCTCTCTTCCACCCAACAGTTCTGACTGGAAGTTGTCGCCAGTTCTGGCCCTCTTCCCCCTCTTCCTTCATGGCTCCATCAGACTGGGTCTGCAAGGCTTAATGAGACACATCAAAGGTGTTATTTCTGCATCAACCCTCCCAGCCAGATACAAACTCTTCCCTTAAGGGGACCCCCGGCCTCTGCTACCCCATCTCAGCTCTCCCTCCAAAAAACCCTGGGGTGTAGAAGCACTCTAAGGGGGATGAAAGGGACCCGGGCCGCAGGGCGGAGGCCCTTTTATGTCCCGGTTCTCAGGCACTAAGGACTTGTCCAGACAGCTGCCCCCAGCGCCTAGGGCGGCCCCACTCCTCTCTGCTCCGGGGACGTCCTGTCTCCTCCAGCCGGTCCTCTCCGCCCTCCAGCCGCAGTAGGGGGACTCCACCCCACCCCACCCCCCAGCCCAGGGGCGAGAGTGAAATAGCGAGGAAGGGGAGAACTGATAGGCATGCGCAGCTCCTCCTGGCCCAGCCAAACAGTCAAAGGCGTCCGTCCTGTCCAGCCCCATAGACTAAGAAACCCCTAGCACCCGGGTCCCTGTCCCCGCACCACTTTTCCTCCCTCTCAATAAATAACCACCTTCCTCTTACTCAAACCGCCCCCCAAGGGCATTAGGCCAGAGGGCTGTCTTCTGATGGCCCCAGGGAGACCATCGGGGAGGCGGGACTGAGGAGCTCAGTTGGAGGGAGCCCCGCTGCTCTCTGTCTCGCGCTTGCTTTTGCCCCCGGGGGGCTCCGCTCCGCCGGCCTTGCCCTCGCCCACCGCCGCTGCCCCGGCAGCCTCCTCTTTGGCGCCCTCGTGGGTTTTCATGTGTTTGGCCAGGTGGTCGCTGCGCATGAAGACCCGGCTGCAGACGGCGCAGGGGAACTTCTTGGTGCCGGTGTGGGTCTGGAGGTGGCGCTGCAGCTCGTCGGAGCGCGTGAAGCGCTTGCCGCAGAAGAGCCAGTTGCACACGAAGGGACGGTCGCCGCTGTGCCAGCGCAGGTGAGCCTTCAGGTGCGACGTCTTGGCGTAGGCTTTCCCGCAGCCCGGGATATGGCAATTGTGCAAATGCTTCTTCTTGCCCCCATCTGGCCCGCACGGAGCCCCCAGTCGCTCCGCCTCCAAGCAATTGGGGCAGCGGCACACGGTCTGGCCTGAGCTGCGGGGCACTGACCTCCGGGAGCCTTTGGGCCGGGCCGCCCCATCCAGACTGGAATCTAGCCCCTGGGATTCCGTGGCGGCCGCTTCCAAAGCCTTCGCCCCGTCGGGAGGCGCCAGAAGGTGCTGCCCTCCGGCGGCTGGGAGGAGGTGGTGAGGGTGCGGGTGGGGCGGCGGGGCACAAAGCTGGTGGTCTCCGACGTAGCCCCCCAAGCCAGCTTGAAGCGCCCCGGGGTGGCCAGGTGAGGTGAGCGCGCCCTGAGTGTGGGGGAGGTCCATCCAGCTGGTACCCGGATGAAGGTCCCACCACGAGCCATCCTCGGTGCCTGAGTGTGTCGGCCGGAACCAAGATTCGTAGTGGTGTGACATGTCCGGCTGCAGGAGCTTGGAAAAGGGTCCCGGAGCCAAGGGACTGTCGTTTTCCAGGTCCTCGCAGGTTACCCGAGAGGAGGCCCCCGGCAGCTCATAGCCCTGTGAGAAGTCCACCTCGGGGCCCAGCGGGAGGCTCTGCAGCTCTCCAGGCTGCAGCGGGGAGGGGTAGTCCCCGGCCTCCGGGCTCGTGTGGCCCTGGTATGTTTGGAGAGGCTGCAGGTCGAGGCGCGGTGGGGAGGCAGCGGGAGCTTCCGTGTGCTGGCTGCCCAGAGAGCCGCAGACAGCGGTTAGCATTGCCGGGATCCGAGGTGGGAGACAGGGAAGGTCAAGGACACCTCAGGTGGGACCTAAACGGGGCAAAGAAGAGGTGAAGTGTGGAAAGTAATTGGCTTAATTTCTGGCTTAGCCCAGGTCACCCTCCCCACAGAGTGCTCCTTTCCCACCCCCAGGTAAAAAGAGGAAGGCACCTCTAGGTGGGGACTAAAGATCAGTTAAGAGAATTTGGAAGTGCTAGGAAGGGTTGAAGGTGTGAGGCTCCCCACCATGCAGAGGATAATGGGAGTCTACCTTCCCCTAGGTGATCCCTCCTGTAGGACCCACCTCATCCTAGGTATTGGGTTAGTCCCAGGCTGGTAGATCGGATACACCTACAGTACAGTGTTAGAACCATCCCCACCCTAGCTGCCCAGGCCGGCACAGGGGTGGTGGCATTTCCCCCAACCCCATAGACTAACTGCCAGCCCAAATGGGATTCCTAGACCCATCTCAGCTTCCCCAGTTTAACTTAGAACACAGCTGGGGAGAGGGAGATTGTCTGTTTCTGAAATCTGAAGCTTGAAGTGACCCAACTTCCTGAAGCCCAAAGGAGGTTCAGAGATTTTGGAGAAAGAGCCTTCCTTTCATCCCTGGGACATGTTCAGTGAAGAGCATTTCACTGCTTTACACCACTCCCCCCCCCTCACCCCGGCGACCTGCCTGGCCAGATTGCCTCGGCCCCAGCAAACCCACTCCCATGCCTGGCCCCCACCCCTTTTCCTCTAGTGGGAACTTCACCTCCCTGGGGTGCAGCTGCAGTGCCAGTTTCCAGAGGACTTCTCTCCACCAGAGAAAGCTAAGCCCCCTTCCCTATCCTGACCCACACTCAGCCAGCTCCCTGGCTGCTAGCCCTGCCCTCTTCCAATCTAGAGATGCTGATGTGAAGCTAGGTGGGCTCTGTTCCTCCAGAGAAAGAGGTCAGCCGGAGAAGAGCTTACCAACAGCTGAGGAAAATAAAATTGCCACCCCCTGAAAGGATGCAGGGACTGAGTGGGGGAAGTGGAGGGCAATAGGAAAAGCCAGAATCACACAGAACTTAAGAAGAACCACTCAAAGAGAGCATATAGTAGCGATCCATGCATTCTCAGCATGGATCATTTTTAGGAGCTCCCCAGATGATTCTAACATGCAGCCGTGTCCTCTTATTTTATAAGAAGAGGAAACAGGCTGAATTTGAAGAAGTCACTTGAAGAAAGTACATTAATTTATTCATTCTATCAACAAATGTGTACTGTATGTACCTCTGTGAACCAGGTCTCTCCACTCCTAGTCTGTTACTCTTTCCCTAAACCAATGGGAACCTAAAGACATCCTCCAACCCTTCATGCACCCCTTTCTCGACCACGTATCAGTCACTTGAAGCTCCCCCTCATCTCACTGCCTATCCCTAAGCCCTGGGAGCCCTGCCTTGGTGCCTGGGCCTTCTCTGATGGTGGGGGTGGGGTGGGGTGGTACAGTGGTTTAGAGCAGGGACTTTTCCTTCCCAAAGCTGGATTCAGATGACCCTACCACGTTCTGCTTCTGGGACCAGAGAGGTAGCCCCTGTGGTCTGGGAGAGAGAGGGAGAAGGCGACTGGGGCGCCTACTCAGGCTCCTGCTTCCTCACCACAAGAAAGGAACAGGGTGAAGTAGCAGGAATGGAGCCTCAGGCCCAGGCGGGGCAGCCCAGAAGGGGCTGGGCAGGAGCAGTGAGGCCTGGGACACTACTAGATTTCGGCGCCTGGGAACAGCCCCAGGGGTTAGAGGGTGGGGAGGCTAACGACCCAGGTTCCAGAGTGGTCTCACCTGACACAGGGCCAGGGGGCCCAGTCCTGGGATGCACTAGCCTGCTACTGAGATCTTGGGACGGGAAACAGTCGGGCGCGTACCCCGACTTGCCGCTCCCCAACGCGGTAAGGCGAGCAGAGACACCTTTCTTCCCCCTTCCGCCGGCTGCCTCTCCTATCACCAGCGCTCAGGTGGTCAGGACTTCCGTACTCCCGGTCCTCAAGGTTCTAGTCCTCCAGTTGTCCCAGTCGCTCCAGTTTCCCCAGTTTCCAACCTCGCCCATCCGCCCCGTTTTCACTCCGCCGGGGCTCTAAGCCCCTCGGATTCTTTAGGACCACCTCCCCTAAGGCCAGAGGAGGCCATGGCGCGTTCCGGGCGCATCTTTCGGAGCCGATCGCCGATGCGCGCGCCCCTCGCCACTACGACCCGGGCTCCTACCTCGAGGCTGCGCTCGGGCTTCGGGCACCGCGGACTGGCG